AACCCCTAGCCCTTTGCATACCCACAGGCCTTTGCAAACCCCTAGCCTTTGCATACCCACAGGCCTTTGCATACCCACAGGCCTTTGCATACCCACAGGCCTTTGCAACCCACAGGCCTTTGCATACCCATAGGCCTTTGCAAACCCTCAGCCCTTTGCATACCCACAGGCCTTTGCATACCCACAGGCCTTTGCATACCCACAAGCCTTTGCATACCCATAGGCCTTTGCATACCCACAGGCCTTTGCATACCCACAGGCCTTTGCAAACCCCCAGCCTTTGCATACCCACAGGCCTTTGCATACCCACAGGCCTTTGCAAACCCCTAGCCCTTTGCATACCCACAGGCCTTTGCAAACCCCAGCCCTTTGCATACCCACAGGCCTTTGCAAACCCCAGCCCTTTGCATACCCACAGGCCTTTGCATACCCACAGGCCTTTGCAAACCCCAGGCCTTTGCATACCCACAGGCCTTTGCAAACCCCAGCCCTTTGCATACCCACAGGCCTTTGCAAACCCTCAGCCCTTGCATACCCACAGGCCTTTGCAAACCCCCAGCCTGCACTGCCTGTGCACTGCCCACCTGGCACGCTTTGCCTATGTCCCATGCCGTCTCTGTCCTCCTGAGTAAGCAGCCGCCGATGGGGAAGGGGGGCAGATGCTGTGGGTGACCTGTGCCCCCCACGCTGCTGCGGGCAGGATTGGAATGGGCGCTCATAGACAGTGCCACCTGTCTCTGCCCCATCGGCCCGACCCCTCGGTTGTCCGGTTCGCCCCCCACCATTCCCACCCCCACATCACAGGCGCGGGCCCCCCATGATTGCGGGGTGCAGCTGCGGAGCTGTTACGTAGCCCAGCTCAGCTCCAACTCCAACGCGGCGGCGGCTCCGGGTTCGAGGCTCAGAGGCGGCCCTCCCCGGCGGCGGCTCCCAGTCCAGGGCTCTCCCACGCCTGGCCCGGAGCACAGGAGCGCGGATGGAGCCAGTGGTTCCGGGCAGCAAGGGAGGGCGGAGGGGGTGGAGCCGGGGGTTTGGGGGGCTGGGGGCTGGTGGTTTGGGGGGTGGGGGCCGGTGGTTGGAGGGTGGGGGCCGGTGGTTTGGGGGGTGGGGGCCGTGGTTTGGGGGGTGGGGGCCGGTGGTTTGGGGGTGGGGGCCGGTGGTTTGGGGGTGGGGGCCGGTGGTTTGGGGGGCTGGAGGCTGGTGGTTTGGGGGGAGGGGGCCGGTGGTTTGGGGGGAATGGGAGCCGGTGGTTGGGAGGGTGGGGACCGTGGTTTGGGGGTGGGGGCCGGTGGTTTGGGGGTGGGGGCCGGTGGTTTGGGGGGGCTGGGGGCCGGTGGTTGGGAGGGTGGGGGCCGGTGGTTTGGGGGGAATGGGAGCCGGTGGTTTGGGGGGTGGGGGCCGTGGTTTGGGGGGAGGGGGCCGGTGGTTTGGGGGGTGGGGGCCGTGGTTTGGGGGGAGGGGGCCGGTGGTTTGGGGGGTGGGGGCCGTGGTTTGGGGGGAGGGGGCCGGTGGTTTGGGGGGTGGGGGCCGTGGTTTGGGGGGAGGGGGCCGGTGGTTTGGGGGGTGGGGGCCGTGGTTTGGGGGGTGGGGGCCGGTGGTTTGGGGGGTGGGGGCCGTGGTTTGGGGGTGGGGGCCGGTGGTTTGGGGGTGGGGGCCGGTGGTTTGGGGGGGCTGGGGGCCGGTGGTTGGGAGGGTGGGGGCCGGTGGTTTGGGGGGAAGGAGCAGCATCCCCACTCGGGCTCCGGCTCCGGCGGGGGCGGGGCGCCGGGCTGGCTCGAGGGCCGCCGCCTCTCCCGCTCCGCCGGCGGCGATGCTCTGGCCCCGCGCCCGGCGGCGGCGGCGGGAGCGGCTTCCAGGAAGCGGCGGGGGCGCCTCCGATCGGCGCGTCCGCGAGCCCGGCCGCCCCCCCACCCCGGCCCCGCCGACCGGCCCCCCCCACCGCCCCCCCCCGCTCCCCCCCCCCCCCCGCCGGCCGCCCCGGCGCCTCACTCGCCGGCGGGCAGGTGGCCCCGCGCCCCGGGTCGGCCCGGCCGGGAGGCGGCGCCCGGTCCTCTGCGGCGGGGACGGTGCTGCCGGGGCCGCGGACGGCGCCGCCAGGTGGGTGCTGGGCGCGGGGACGGGAGGGGGCCCGCGGGACAGCCGGGCGGGTGTCTCACGGGACGTTCAGACTTTTTAAAGTCAATGTGATGGGAGGGACACCCCCTTCCCCAAACCCGCTCCCCCAAAAAGAAAATTAATGAAATGAAATGACCCTCCGCGGGCGGGGAGGTGCGGAGAGGGGCGTCCCGGGCTGTGCGCGGGCGGAGCGGCCTCTGGAGTGACGGGGGGGAGGGGGGCTTCCAGCTCTGTGGGGGGCAGAGATTTTGGGGGGACTTCCAGCTTTCGGGGGACTTCCAGCTTTGGGGGAAGTGGTTTTGGGGGGCTTCCAGCTTTGGGGGGAGTGGTTTTGGGGGTAGAGATTTTGGGGGGACTTCCAGCTTTGGGGGAGCGGTTTTGGGGGGCTTCCAGCTTTGGGGGGAGTTGTTTTGGGGGAGTGATGTTGGGGGGACTTCCATCTTTGCGGGGAGTGGTTTGGGGGAGCTTCCAGCTTTGGGGGGGGAGTGGTTTTTGGGGGAGTGATGTTGTGGGGAGTAGTTTTGGGGGAAGTGGTTTTGGGGGAATGGTTTTGGGGGAAGTGGTTTTTGGGGGAATGATTTTGGGGGGAGTGATGTTGGGGGGAGTGGTTTTGGGGGAGTAATGTTGGGGGGAGTGATGTTGGGGGGAATGATTTTGAGGGGAATGATTTTGGGGGAGTGATTTTGGGGGGAGTGGTTTGGGGGGAATGATTTTGGGGGGAGTGGTTTTGGGGGGTGTGGTTTTGGGGGGACCTCCAGGTAAAACGGGCGGGAGGCGGCCGGAGGGAGGCCCCGCAGGTTGGCCAGGGGGCCCCGAGCGCCTAACGGGCCGGGGAGGCGGGGGGGGGGGGGGGGGGGGGAGGGAGGCGCGGGAGGAGGCGCCTCTTCCGCCCGCCCCCCCCTTTCCCCCCCCCCCCCCCCCCCCGCCGCCCGGGGCCCCGTCGGAAGGAAGCGGCGGCCGCACATTTGCGGATCGCATCAGGCCTGGGTGATGCTTTCTCCAGACGGAGCCCCGCCGCCGCCTCCGGCCCGCCGCTCCCTCAGCGCGGCTGCAGCGGGGGCTCCCGTGGCGGCGGGGAGGCTGGGAGCCTCCGACAGGGCCCTGTGCAACCTCAGGCAGCTCGCGTGCCCTCTCTGGGCTGGCTGACTTGGCCTGAGACGCACTGTGTGTGTGTGTGTGTGACTCCTCATTGATTTAAAAAAAAATTTTTTTAAATATATTTTATTGATTTCTTAAAATATATATTTTTTATTTACTTTTTACACAGAGGAAGGGAGAGGGATCGAGAGAAACATCGATGAGAGAGAAACATCCATCAGCTGCCTCCTGCACGCCCCCCACTGGGGATGTGCCCGCAACCAAGGTCCGTGCCCTTGACCGGGATCGAACCCGGGACCCTTCATTCCGCAGGCCGATGCGCTGTCCACTGAGCCACCCCGGTTTCGGCTCCCATTAATATTTTCAGGGAGAGAGACTCATCATCGATGAGTTGCCACCTGCAGGAGTCCTAACCAGGGCCCCCAGGGCCAGGCCGGGGAGGAGCCTGCCACCTCCGTACCTGCCCTTGACGGGGAATCGAACCCGGGGCCCTTCGGCCCACAGGGCAGACGCTCGATCCGCTGAGTCTCACCGGCCGGCCGGCTGAGGCTGCCTGAGACTCCTTTCTGCCTGAAGCCGCAGCAGGGAGCTGGCAGGTGCCCTCCCCCTTGGCTCCTAGTTGGCTTCCTGAGTTGGTTGCCAGCAGCCACACCCGCTGCTGACGGGTGAGCTGGAGGGAGGCTGGCGCGTAGACGCCCGGGCTTCTGGAAGGCAGCGGGCCCGGGCGGCACACCGGAGGGAGGCCCAGCTGCCCCCCTGACGTGATGAGAGAGATCCTGGCCAGTGTGGCTCAGTGGGTAGAGCGTCGGCCTGTGGATTGAAGGCTTCCGGGTTGCATTTCCAGTCAGGGCCCGTGCCCGGGTTGCAGGCTCGATCTTCAGAGGAGGGCGTGCAGGAGGCAGCCAATCCATGATTCTCTCTCACTATGGATATTTCTTTATATATATATATATATATATATATATATATATATATATATATATATATAATTTTATTGATTTTTTTTTTTACAGAGGTAAAGGGAGAGGGATAGAGAGCTAGAAACATCATTAAGAGAGAGACATCGATCAGCTGCCTCCTGCACACCCCCCACTGGGGATGTGCCCGCAACCAAGGTACGTGCCCTTGACAGGAATCGAACCCCGGACCTTTCAGTCCACAGGCCGATGCTCTATCCACTGAGCCACACCGGTTTCGGCGGGAGGGAGACTTTCATACACAGTTTACGAATCCCTGTTCATCTCTGACACGTCGACAATAGAGAAAGTGCAAAGAGCAACATGAAAACATTTCTTCTCATCAACTCCCTTTCGACGTGCACAGATTCTGTGCACCGGGCCGCTAGTAAGTAAATAAAACCGAGAACTGCCGAAACCGGTGTGGCTCAGTGGATAGAGCGTCGGCCTGCGGACTGAAAGGTCCGGGGTTCGATTCCTGTCAAGGACACGAACCTTGGTTGCGGGCACATCCCCAGGTGGGGGGGGCGTGCAGGAGGCAGCTGGTCGATGATTCTCTCTCATCGATGTTTCTAGCGCTCCATCCCTCTCCTTTCCTCTCTGTAAAAAAAAAAATCAAGAAAATATGTTTTTAAAAAAAAGATTAAACAATAAAATAATCAAAAGGCAGCCCCATGCTGGACCCACACAGGCCTCCCAGCCGGCCTCTGGCGGGTCTGTTAGGCCGTGTTAGCTCGTGGGAACAGGACCTGGGGCCAGAGCCTGTGGGAAACCAACCATTCCCTCCTCCATAGGCTCCACGTGACACCCCCCCTCCAGACGCTGGTCCCCATGGCTTCCTGGACGAGCCCCTGGTGGCTGCTGGGGTGGATGGTCTTCATGCACTGGGCGCTCCTGCAGGTAGGTACGGGGGGGGGTGCGGGGAGAGGAAATGGGGGACTGGGGAGGGCCGGCGGGCGGAGGGGAGGGGAGCTCGGCTCAGTTTCCATAGCTTTCCGTCACCTCCAATGGGCTGCGATGTGTGTGTGTGTGTGTGTATGTGTGTGTTTAATAATGCTTTATTGTTTGTTTGTTTTTTAAACATTTCTTTATTGATTTCAGAGAGGAAGGGAGAGAGCTAGAGAGCTAGAAACATCGATGAGAGAGAGTCATCGATCAGCTGCCCCCTGCACGCCCCCCACCGGGGATGTGCCCACAACCCAGGTCCATGCCCTTGACCGGAATCGAACCCAGGACCCTTCAGTCCGCAGGCCGACGCCCTAACCACTGAGCCACACCGGTTTCGGCTCGGCTTGTTTTAAAAATATATATATTTTTATTGATTTCAGGGAGGAAGGAAGAGGGAGAGAGAGAGAGAGAGACATTCTCCTGCACGCCCCCTCCTGGGGATTGAGCCCACAACCCGGGCATGTGCCCTTGACCAGAATCGAACCGGGGACGCTTCAGTCCATAGGCCGATGCTCTATCCACTGAGCCACATCAGCCAGGGCAATTCTTTCTTGTTGAAAGGATTACAGATCCCCCCCATTGACCCTCTCCAGCACCCCCTTTTTCTCTCCCTCCCCGCCTGCCGGCCTTCACCACCCACTGTCTATGGCCAGGGGCTATACATACATACATGCATACACACACACATACACATACATGGTCTTTGGGTGATCACCTACCCCTCACGCTCCCCCACCTTTGAGATCCCACACTCCGCTTCGTGTTTCTGAATCTTTGACCTGCCTGTGGGCCCATATGTGTCCTGTGTGGACAGAACAGGCTAGTCCATACGTGTCCTGTGTGGATAGAACAGGTAGCCCATACGTGTCCTGTGTGGACAGAACAGGCAGCCCATATGTGTCCTGTGTGGACAGAACAGGCAGCCCATACGTGTCCTGTGTGAACAGAACAGGCTAGCCCACACGTGTCCTGTGTGAGTGGAGCAGGCTAGCCCACACGTGTCCTGTGTGAATGGAACCAGGAAGCCACCCACTTCTGACGTAAATTTCGGGCCCTTGGCATGGGGGCCGTGCCCCCTCCGTGCCCAGCAAAGGGCCTGGCGCGCAGTAGGGGCTTTAGGTCCAGGAGGGGAGCGTGCACACACGACGGAGACGCCTCGCAGCCTCGGGGCCTCTCACCACGGACGCTCCCCTCCCTCTCCCTTCCCCTCTGACATCAGCGGAAACAAACACGAGAACAGAAGCTCCAGCCCGGGGCCCTGGCCCTGTCACCGCCGGGCGTGTTCCACAGAAACGCTCGTTTCCAGAGCCAGCGCGGCGGGCGCTTCCTCTCCAGGACTTTATGCCGCGACCCCGCCACTCGGAGGGCTCAGCCGGGGTGTGTGTGTGTGTCTGTGTGTCTCTGTGTGTGTCTCTGTGTGCGTGCGTGTGTGTGTGTCCCTGAGTGTGCATGTGTGTCTTTGTGTGTCTCTCTCTGTGTGTGTCTGTGTGTCTCTGTGTGTGTCTCTGTGTGCGTGCGTGTGTGTGTCCCTGAGTGTGCATGTGTGTCCCTGTGTGTCTCTCTCTGTGTGTGTCTCTGTGTGTCTCTGTGTGTGTGTGTCTCTGTGCATCTCTCTCTGTGTCTCTGTGTGTGCATGTGTGTGTCTCTGTCTCTGCGTGCATGTGTGCGTGTGCATGTGTGTCTCTCTGTGTGTGTCTCTCTCTGTGTGTCTGTGTGTGTCTCTGTGTGTCTCTCTGTGTGTGCATGTGTGTGTCTCTGTCTCTGCGTGTATGTGTGCACGTGCATGTGTGTCTACGTGTGTCTTTGTTTGTGTCTCTGTCTGTGTGTGTCTCTCTGTGTATGTCTGTGTGTGTGCATGTGTGTCTCTCTCTGTGTGTGTCTGTCTTTGTGTGTGTGCATGTGTGTCTCTCTGTGTGTGCCTGTCTCTCTGTGTGTGCATGTGTGTGTCTCTGTGTGTCTCTGTATATGTCTCTGTGAGTGTGCATGTGTGTACCTGTGTGTGTGTGTGTGTGTGTGTGTGTGTGTGTGAGTTTACCTGGCTGACACCTCCACGGGCTTCCAGCCTGCAGTGAGACATGGCAGAGCATATATCCTTTCTGATGGGTGTTTCTGGTTTCTTGGGATATAGTCCTAGGAGTGGGATGACTGGGTCAAATGGGAGTTCCATGTTTAGTTTTTTTGGTTATTTTGTGGGTTTTTAAAAAATATATATTTTATTGATTTTTTACAGAGAGGAAGAGAGAGGGATAGAGAGTTAGAAACATCGATGAGAGAGAAACATCGACCAGCTGCCTCCTGCACAGCCCCCCACTAAGGATGTGCCCGCAACCAAGGTCCATGCCCCTGACCGGAATCGAACCCGGGACCTTTCGTCCGCAGACCGACGCTCTATCCACTGAGCCACATGGGTTTCGGCTGCATATTACTCTTTAGTAGATAGGATAAGTGAATGAATGGATGATGGAATGAGTGAATGGATAGGAAACACACACACTCACACACACACTCACACACACACACACACACACTCTGCACGCACACACACACACACACTGCACGCACACACACACACTCACACACACACACACACTCTGCACGCACACACACACACTCACACACATTCATACACTCTCTCACACACTCAAACACGCACGCGCGCACACACACACACACTCACTCACACACTCACACACACTCACTCACACACACACACTCACACACACACTCACACACACACTCACACACACACTCACACACACACACTCACTCATACACACACACTCACACACACTCTCACGCACACTCACACACACACTCACACACACACTCACTCACTCACACACACACTCACACACATTAACACATACTCTCTCACACACACACACACACTCACACACACATACACTCACTCACACACACACACTCACACACACACTCACTCACTCACACACACACTCACACATATTAACACATACTCTCTCACACACACACTCACACACTCTCACGCACACACACACTCACACACACTCATGCACACACACATTCATACACACACTCTCTCTCACACACACACACACGCACGCGCACATACACACACACTCACACACACACTCACACTCACACACACATTAACACACACTCTCTCTCTCTCTCTCACACACACACACACACACACACACACACACACACTCTGCGGTGCTTCTGCTCGGCCTGGCTCCTGACGGCGCCCTGCCTTCCAGACGGCGGCGGAGACGGCCCCGGGCGCCTACTTCCTGCCGGAGTTTGCGCTGTCCCCGCAGGGCAGCTTCCTGGAGGACACCACCGGCCAGCAGCTCCTCACCTACCGCTCCGAGGACCAGGTACGCCCCCGGCCGGCCGCTCCGCAGAGACAGGCCCGAGGGTCCCGTCTCCCGGGCCCTCCCCCAGGGGTGGCTCCTGAGGGGTCGGGGCATGGGATTGAGGGACGCTTTCTTACTGTCTTTTTCTTTCCTTTTTTCTTTCATTTAAAAAAATATATATAATGTATTGATTTTTTTATAGAGAGGAATGGAGAGAGACAGAGATAGAGAGCTAGCTAGAAACGTCGATGAGAGAGAAACATCGACCAGCTGCCTCCTGCACGCCCCCCACTGGGGATGTGCCCGCAACCAAGGTACCTGCCCTTGACTGGAATCGAACCCGGGACCCTTGAGTCCACAGGCCGACGCTCTATCCACTGAGCCAAATAGGTTAGGGCCAAAGTTGGAATTTTCGCCAAGCCTGTTTACCAGAAAGGAACAAAGCGGGCATGCCTGTGTGCACATCCGTGTGAGCGCACGCATACATGCGCACATGTGTATGGCATGTGTGTGAGCGGGCACACGTGTCTGCAAGTGTGGGCATGAGCGTGCGCATGTGTGCAAGGTTGTGCATGAGTGTGTGTGGGTGTATGCACATGAATGTGTGGGTAGGTATACACCTGAATGTGTGAGCAGGTGTGTGCACACATGTGTGCAAGAATGGGAGTCAGCCAAAACCGGTTTGGCTCAGTGGTAGAGCGTCGGCCTGCGGACTGAAAGGTCCCGGGTTCGATTCCGGTCAAGGGCATGTACCTTGGTTGCGGGCACATCCCCAGTGGGGGGTGTGCAGGAGGCAGCTGGTCGATGTTTCTCTCTCATCGACGTTTCTAACTCTCTATCCCTCTCTCTTCCTCTCTGTAAAGAAATCAATAAAATATATATATTTAAAAAGAAAGAATAGGAGTGAGCATGCACTTACATAGGCACGTGTGTTTGCATGTGCACACATGTATGTGAGCGAGTGTGTGGATGTGTGTGCATGTCATATGAGTGTGCATGTGTGTAAGAGCTTGTGCGTGCACATGCATGTGTGCGCGTGTGTGTACATGTGTGTGGGGATGTGTATGTGTTTAAATCATGCAGGAGAACAAGTCTGTGGGTGCTGAGAGGCAGACCCTGGCACCCGGGGACCAGATTCCTTCCTCCCCTCCATGCCTTTCCCTCCATGCCTGGACAACTGAGGCCTGAGCACGTCTTGGAGCCGCTCCCAACCCCATGGAAACAGAGAATAACGTCAGCGTTGCCGGCCCCGGCTGGTGTGGCTCAGTGGGTAGAGCGTCGGCCTGCCCACCAAAGGGTCCCGGGTTCAATTCCAGTCAGGGCACATGCCTGGGTTGGGGGTTGGATCCCCAATGTGGGGCGTGTACAGGAGGCAGCCGATCGATGTGTCTCTCTCACATCGATGTTTCTCTCTGTCTCTCCCTCTCCCTTCCTCTCTCTCTCTCTCTAAAAATCCGTAGAAACATACCCCGGGTGGGTATTCACCAAACAAAAAACGAACAAAAAGCGTGGCCGGGCCCTGACCGGTGTGGCTCAGTGGCTAGAGCGTCTGCCTACGGACGGATGGGTCCCAGGTTCGATTCCGGTCAAGGGCATGTACCTTGGTTGCGGGCACATCCTTGGTGGGGGGGTGCAAGAGGCAGCTGATCGATGATTCTCTCTCGTCGATGTTTCTGACTCTCTATCCCTCTCCCTTCCTCTCTGTGAAAAATCAATAAGATAAATATATTTTTTTAAAAAGCAGTGCCAAACGCCAAGGGTTCTAGCAGGTGGGGCCTGCGTCCAGGGGGCAGAGGGCCATGGGGTAGGGATTCCGATGGGTCTGGCGGACCGTGGCGCCGAGAGGGCCACATACCACGAGGAGCAAGGGGGCTCTGCTATCTTTCTTTAAAATATATATGTATAAATTAATAATATATATATATATATATATATTATTGATTTTTCACAGAGAAGAAGGGAGAGAGAGAGAAGCGCTAGAAACATCGATGAGAATCATCCATCAGCTGCCTCCTGCACGCCCCCCACTGGGGATGTGCCTGCAACCAAGGTACATGCCCTTGACCGGAATCGAACCGGGGACCCTTCAGTCCGCAGGCGGACGCTCTATCCACTGAGCCACACCGGTTTCGGCTCCGCTATCCTCTCACAGCTGATGATGGGTGTGGCGGCCGGTCCTGCTGAGGCAGGCGGGTGAGGGGGGAGGGATTCTTAGAATGAGCAGCTCTGGGGATCTAGCTGGCCCCACGGTGGGTGTGGATGTGGCCGCAGGGGGTGGGACCCAGTGGGACGGTCGGAGCGGGCAGAGGGCGGGTGTGGGGGCTGGGTGGTGTCCCAGTCCCAGAGAGGGTGACACCCCATTAATCCTGACCCTCCAGGCAGCTGCTGGGTGGGCTCTGGGTGGGGGATGGGGTAGGGTGAGAGGGACCCAGCCATGGGGCAGAGAGCTAACCAGGGAGTCAGGACCAGGGGCAGAATGAGACCAATTTTTTTTTTAAATACATTTTATTATTTTTTTCACAGAGAGGAAGAGAGGACAGAGAGTTAGAAACATCGATGAGAGAGAAACATCGACCAGCTGCCTCCTGCACACCCCCCACCGGGGATGTGCCCGCCACCAAGATACATGGCCTTGACTGGAATCGAACCCGGGAACTTTGAGTCCGCAGGCCGACGCTCTATCCACTGAGCCACACCGGTTTCGGCTCTTTTTTTTTTCTTTTTTAAAAAAAAATATATTTTATTGACTTCTTACAGAGAGGAAGGTAGAGAGACAGACAGTTAGAAACATCGATGAGAGAGAGACACCCATCAGCTGCCTCCTGCACACCCTCCCTGAGGATGTGCCTGCAACCAAGGTCCATGCCCTTGACCGGGAATCGAACCCGGGACCCCCTCCGTCCGCAGGCCGGCGCCCTCTCTACCCACTGACCCACCCCAGCCAGGGCTGGTCTCATTGCCACGCTTCCTTTCCCGTGCCTCCTTCTCCTAATTAGGCTTAGAAGGGACCTACTGACTGTTGCTTCACGCATTCTTTCTGAGGGGGAGAGCGAGCTGCGTCTGGCTCTGAGCGGCTTCTTCCGACCGGCCGGCTGCCTGGGGCCGGCCTTGGCCCCGGCTGTGCCTGCGGTGAGCCAGCTGGCAGGCCTCGGCCCCCTCCCTCCTGCTCCTCCTCCTCCCTCCTCCTGCTTTCCGGGATCGTCTTGGACGTGGGCAGCCTCCCTCTTCGGAAACTTCTAGTAAAGGAAGGGTGGGCCCAGACCTGGGGTGCATGGGAGGGGGGCGGGGGCCTGAGCCCTCTTATTTAGGGTCCGGGACGTGCCAGGTGGATGCTGGCCCGGGGGGGGGGGGGGGAGGGCTGCGATGGCTTCAGGAAGCCAGCCTTTGGGGTTCGCGGGTTCGTTCCTTTGTGAGTGAGTCATGGGGGCCGGAGCCAGAGGTTTGGACATGGGACGGGGAAGGGAGCTCATGGCCGGGGAGGAGGCAGGGACACGTGGATGGGAACGTGGAGTTTCCCCCCCTTTCCCCCCCACATCCCACAGGGCGGTGGGGGGGGGGGGCAGCAGGCGAGCCCAGAACGCCATGGTCCTGGAGTTTTTCTTCCTCTTTTTTCTTCATTTATTTTTACATTTTTTTATAATATATTTTATTGATTTTTAAAAAAAAAAACATATTTTATTGATTTTGTACAGAAAGGAAGGGAGAGAGATAGTTAGAAACATCAATGAGAGAGAGAGTCATCGATCAGCTGCCTCCCGCACACCCCTACTGGGGATGCGCCCGCAACCAAGGCACCTGCCCTTGACCGGAATCGAACCTGGGACCCTTCAGTCCACAGGCCGACGCTCTATCCACTGAGCCACACCGGTCCTGGCTATTTTATTGATTTTTTACAGAGAGGAAGAGAGGGAGAGAGAGTTAGAAACATCGATGAGAGATAAACATCCATCAGCTGCCTCCTGCATGCCCCCCACTGGGGATGTGCCCGCAACCAAGGTCCATGCCCTTGACCGGAATTGAACCCGGGACCTTTCAGTCCGCAGGCCGACGCTCTATCCACTGAGCCACACCGGTTTCGGCAAGACACATTTAAAAAAAAATATCTTCATTGACTTCGGAGAGGAAGGGAAGAGAGAGAGGTAGGAACATCCATGAGGAGAGAGCGTCAGGGCCAGCTGCCTCCTGCACGCCCCCGCCGGGGATGTGCCCGCAACGGCTGCTGGCCTGTGATTCTCTCCTCATGGATGTTTCTCTCCCTCCCTCTCCCTCCCCCCTGACATCAATACACATTTATATATATTTGTCCTGGCAGAAGGCGAAATCGGTGGCAGCTGAGTGTTGAGGGGGTGCCTGGGCTTCCCCACCTTAAAGTCCAGAAGAGCTTGGTGTGCATGTGTGTGTTTGCGTGCGTGCGGTGTGTGCGTGTGTCTGTGTGGTGTGTGCGTGTGTGTGTGCCTGTGTGTGTGCGTCTGTGTGTGTGGGGGGTGTGTGTATCTGTGTGTGTGTGTCTGCGTGTGTCTGTGTGGTGTGTGCGTGTGTGTGTATGTGTGTGTCTGTGTGCGTGTGTCTGTGTGGTGTGTGTGTGTGTGCGCGCGCGCGTGTGTGTGTCTCTGTGTGTGTGGGGTGTGTCTGTGGTGTATGTGTTTGTGTGTGTATGTGTGAGTGTGTGTGGTGTATGTGTGTGGGGGTGTGTGCGTGTATCTGTGTGGGGTGTGTGTGTGTGTGGTGTGAGTGATGAGTGGAAGCTGTGCTCTCTATGGCACTCCGGGCGGACGGGCCGGCTCCTGGCGGTGAGTGATGGGTGTGTGTGTGTGTGTGTGTGTGTGTGGTGTGGTGTGTGTGTGTGTGTGCCGGCTCCCAGCTGTGAGTGATGGGTGTGTGTATGTGTGTGTGTGGTGTGTGTGTGTGTGTGTGTGTGTGTATGTGTGTGGTGTGTGTGGTGTGTGCCGGCTCCCGGCGGTGAGTGATGGGTGTGTGTGTGTGTGTGTGTGTGTGTGGTGTGGTGTGTGTGTGTGTGTGTATGTGTGTGGTGTGTGTGGTGTGTGCCGGCTCCCGGCGGAGAGTGATGGCTGTGTGTGTGTATGGTGTGGTGTCTGTGTGTGTGTGTATGAGTGTGTGTGTGGTGTGTGCCGGCCCCCGGCGGTGAGTAATGTGTGTGTGTGTGTGTGTGTGTGGTGTGGTGTCTGTGTGTGTGTGTATGTGTGTGTCTGTGTGCGTGTGTCTGTGTGGTGTGTGTGTGTGTGCGCGCGCGCGCGTGTGTGTCTCTGTGTGTGTGGGGGTGTCTGTGGTGTATGTGTTTGTGTGTGTATGTGTGAGTGTGTGTGGTGTATGTGTGTGGGGGGGTGTGTGTATCTGTGTGGGGTGTGTGTGTGTGTGGTGTGAGTGATGAGTGGAAGCTGTGCTCTCTATGGCACTCCGGGCGGACGGGCTGGCTCCCGGCGGTGAGTGATGGGTGTGTGTGTGTGTGTGTGTGTGTGTGGTGTGGTGTGTGTGTGTGTGTGCCGGCTCCCGGCTGTGAGTGATGGGTGTGTGTGTGTGTGTGTGTGTGGTGTGGTGTGTGTGTGTGTGTGTGTGTGTGGTGTGGTGTGTGTGTGTGTGTGTATGTGTGTGGTGTGTGTGGTGTGTGCCGGCTCCCGGCGGTGAGTGATGGCTGTGTGTGTGTATGGTGTGGTGTCTGTGTGTGTGTGTATGAGTGTGTGTGTGGTGTGTGCCGGCCCCCGGCGGTGAGTAATGTGTGTGTGTGTGTGTGTGTGTGTGTGGTGTGGTGTCTGTGTGTGTGTGTATGTGTGTGGTGTGTGTGGTGTGTGCCGGCTCCCGGCGCTGAGTAATGTGTGTGTGTGTGTGTGTGGTGTGGTGTCTGTGTGTGTGTGTATGTGTGTGGTGTGTGTGGTGTGTGCCGGCCCCCGGCGGTGAGTAATGTGTGTGTGTGTGTGTGTGTGTGTGGTGTGGTGTCTGTGTGTGTGTGTATGTGTGTGGTGTGTGTGGCGTGTGCCGGCTCCCGGCGCTGAGTGATGGGGAGGAGATGGGGGGAGCCGGGAGCAGCCGCCTAATGGGAGGGTAAACAGTGTGGGTTTGATTAGCTTCCTCCGGCTGCCAGGCGGGGGCTGCCAGGCCCTCTCCCTCCGGCCTGGAGGCCCCCAAACACCGCCGCCCGGAGGGGGGGCCGGCGGAGCTATAAATAGGCCGCCTGGCCGGGCCCCAGGAAAGCCACTGCCTGAGAGCCTGCGGGGAAGCGACGGAGTCTGCTCATTCTTTCCTTTCTTCCTTCTTTTTTAAGAATATATTTTATTGATTTTTTACAGAGAGGAAGGAAGAGGGAGAGAGAGTTAGAAACATCGATGAGAGAGAGTCATCGATCAGCTGCCTCTTGCACACCCCCCACTGGGGATGTGCCCGCAACCAAGGTCCTTGCCCTTGACCGGAATCGAACCCGGGACCCTTCAGTCTGCAGGCCGATGCTCCATCCACTGAGCTACACTGGTTTCGGCTCTTACTTTCTTTCCCCTTCCTTCCTTCCTTTCTTTCTTTCTTGTTGCTAAATATATTTTTTTTATTGATTTCAGAGAGGAAGGGAGAGAGAGAGAAGAGAGAGAAGAGAGAGAGAGAGAGAGAGAGAGAGAGAGAGAGAGAGAGAGAGAGAGAGAGAAACATCCGTGATGAGAGAGAATCCTGGTTCGGCTGCCTCCTGCACGCCCCGCACTGGGGATCAAGCCCACAACCCGGGCCTGTGCCCTGACCGGGAATCAAACCCGTGACCTCCTGGTTCCTAGGCCGATGCTCAACCCCTGAGCCCCGATTTACAGCTTACCTGCAGCCTGCTGTCTGACGTGGACTTCTCTGCGTTCCCACGGGATGTGATTGGCTGCTTTTCCCCACTCCTTTTTGTTGTTAACCTTCAACCGAGGATATTTTTTCCCATCGATTTTTTTTTTAAAAAATCAATGAATTTTTAAATTTTATGTTTTCATATGTTTTATGGAATTTTTACAGAGAGGAAGAAAGAGTGAGGGATAGTTAGAAACACCAATGAGAAATGCTGATCAGCTGCCTCCTGCACACCCCCCACTGGGGTGCCCTTGACCGGAATCGAACCCGGGACCCTTCAGTCCGCAGGTCGGTGCTCTATCCACTGAGCCACACCGGTTAGAGTGGACAGTCTTTTTCTATATCAGGTTTATCTGATGATGACGCATCAATACTTTTTATAGCATTTTATCGTTTCAGCATTTTTAACTTCTGTAATGATTGCCTTTTACCCCCCCCCAAAAAAAAAAAAACATTAAAATATATGTGTGTGTGTTTTTTTTTCTTTTTTAATAGATTTTGTATTGATGTCAGAGAGGAAAAGAGAGAGAGAGAGAGAGAAACATCCACGATGAGAGAGCATCCTGGATCGGCTGCCTCCTGCGTGCCCCTCACTGGGGGTGGAGCCTGCAACCCGGGAGTGGGCCCCGACCGGGAATCGAACCCCGACCTCCTGGTTCACAGGTCGACGCTCAGCCACGGAGCCACGCCGGCTGGGCCATTTCAGCATTTCTCATATACAACTGGGAATAAAACAAGGGAATCCATAGCGAGTGTAAAGAATTTCCTTGCAGGCGGAGCAAGCGTGTCAAACTCAAAGGCTAGCACGGCCCCCATACAGGAGGGCCGTGGCCCGCGGGCCGCGAGTTTGACACCCTCGGTGGTGAGGCCCCTGGACGGTCTCTGCCATGCATGGGGCCGTTCCCCAAAGCCAGGCGCCTGCGGGCACCTTGGCAAAGGACTCTGGGGACGGGAATAAGGGAGGGTCGGGGTGTGTCCACGGGTGTTGATCCGTGTATGGGATTGATCGTGCTGTCTGCTTCCTGTCTCCAGACTTCCAGAAACTCGTCCCCTGAGGAGGAGGAGGAGGAGGAGGAGGAGGACAAGGATGGCAACTGGGACGCCTGGGGCGACTGGAGTGACTGCTCCCGGACCTGTGGGGGCGGGGCCTCCTACTCCCGGCGCCGGTGCCTGAGTGGGAGGTGAGGGGGGCCAGGCTGTGCCCGGGATGGGGGTTTGAGGGATTGGGGGGGGGGGTCGGGGAGAGGGTACCAGGGGAGACCCCTGGCTCATTGGCTTTGGAAGGGCCTAGCATGGGGGGAGGGGGCACCACCTGCTGTCTAAATATCAGCCAAAGGAGCCCCGGCCGGTGTTGCTCAGTGGTTAGCGTCGGCCTAGGCCACCAGGAGGTCACGGTTCGATCCCCGGTCAAGCGCACATGCCCGGGTTGGCGGGCTCCATCCCCAGTGTGAGGAGGGGGGGGCCTGTAGGAGGCAGCCGATCCATGATTCTCTCTCATCGTGGATGATTCTCTCTCATCGTGGATGTTTCTCTCTCTCTCTCCCTCTCCCTTCCTCTCTGACTGAGATCAATAAAAATATACCCAGAGGGGCCAGATGATGAGGATCTCTGAACGCATAATGATCTGGCCACTCTGTGTCTATCCTATAGAATAAAAGGCTCATATGCAAAAGCAGGCAGGCCGGCCAACCGCCCATGTCCCCTCCCCCTGGGCAGGCTGGCCGAACATTCCCCCCCCATGCACAAATTCATGCACCAGAGCTCTAATGTATATGTAAACTCTAAGGGGCCAGATTATTATGCTTTCAGAGATCATCATCAGCTTTTAAAAAAAAAAAGAAAGAAAAGAAAGAAAAACACGTGTGTTTTGGAATAGAGTCAGTTTAAAAAATATATATATATATAGAGAGAGAGATCTCGAGAGAGAGAGAGAGAGAGACATGATGAGAGAGAATCATGGGTCGGCTGCCTCCTGCACGCCCCCCACTGGAGATGGAGCCTGCAACCCGGGCCTGTGCCCTGACCGGGAATCGAACCCTGACCTCCTGGTTCCTAGGTCAACACTCAGCCACTGAGCCACGCCGGCTGGGCAAGAATTCACTCTCTGTTTAAATCTTTTCCACCATGAGACGCTGTAGCCAGCTGACTCACGAACGCTGTCTCTTAGAATTTAAACTTTGAATTTTTGAGAGGTAATGGGCACACGAAAAGATTTGGGCTTCTTATTTTTCTTTTCTTTTTTTCTTTTTTCTTTTTTTTTTTTTTTCTGTTGCCACTTCCATGACATCATTGTTATCGCTCTCCTCCCCTCTCCTTTTCCTTTTAGGAATTGCGAGGGGCAGAATATTCGCTACAAGACGTGCAGCAATCATGTAAGTTCCATGAAAAACATGCAGGATCTAGTAAAATCTATGCATGTTCGCCGAAATCGGTGTGGCTCAGTGGATAGAGCGTCGGCCTGCGGACTGAAGGGTCCCGGGTTCGATTCCGGTCAAGGGCATGGACCTTGGTTGCGGGCACATCCCCAGTGGAGGGTGTGCAAGAGGCAGCTGATGGATGTTTCTCTCTCATCGATGTTTCTAACTCTCTATCCCTCTCCCTTCCCCCACATCAGAGGCTATTTTCCCATTGATTTTTTTGGGAGAGTGTGAGAGAGAGGGAGAGACACATCGATGGGAGAGAGACACATCGATGGGTTGCCTCCTGCACGAGCCACAACCAGGCCCGGGAGTGAGTGAGCCTGCAACCGAGGTCCGTGCCCTCGACTGGAATGGAACCCGGGATCCTCCGCCTGCAGGCCGGCGCTCTACCCACTGAGCCACACCGGCTGGGGCAGGAAGGCGGTGGCTCCTGGGAGGGGGGGAGAGAGGCGGGGGGCGGGGGGATGGTCTCAGGGAACGCGGGCCCCCCGTGTCCAGCCTCCGGGGCCCACGTCACGGGTGCCCCCTGACCTCCCTCCCCCGCCAGGACTGCCCGCCGGACGCCGAGGACTTCCGCGCCCAGCAGTGCTCGGCCTACAACGACGTGCCGTACCAGGGCCGCCACTACGAGTGGCTGCCGCGCAGCGACGACCCCGCCGCCCCCTGCGCGCTCCGCTGCCGCGCGCGCGGCCAGGCGCTGGTGGCCGAGCTGGCGCCCAAGGTGCTGGACGGCACGCGCTGCCGCCGCGGCGCCCTGGACATGTGCATCAGCGGCGCCTGCCAGGTGGGCCCGCCCTCCCGGACGCCACGCCCCTCTCCCGACGCGCCACGCCCCTTCTCCCGACGGGCCACGCCCCTTTCCCCGACGGGTAACGCCCCTTCTCCCGACGGGCCACACCCCTTCTCCCGACGCGCCACGCCCCTTCTCCCGACGTGCCACGCCCCTTTCCCCAACGGGCCACGCCCCTTTCCCCGATGCGCCACGCCCCTTCTCCCCACGTGCCACGCCCCTCCCCTGAAAAACCACGCCCCTCCCCGAGACACCAAGTCCTTTCTCCCGACGTGCCACGCCCCTCCCGGACGCCATGACCCTCCCGGAGACACCAAGTCCCTTCTCCCGACGTGCCACTCCCTGGACACCACGCCCCTTCTCCCAATGTGCCACGCCCCTCCAGGATGCCACGCCCCTCTCCCAACGTGCCACGCCCCTTCTCCCGACGTGCCACGCCACTCCCGGACGCCACGCCCCTTCCCTGAGAAACCACGCCCCTCCCCGCTACACCAAGTTCCTTCGCCCCTTCTCCCAATGTGCCACGCCCCTCCTGGACACCACGCCCCTCTCCCGACGTGCCACGCCCCTTCCCTAGACGCCACGCCCCTCCAGGACACCACGCCCCTTCCTTGAGAAACCACGCCCCTCCCCGAGATGCCAAGTCCCTTCTCCCGACGTGCCACTCCCTGGACACCACGCCCCTTCTCCCGACGTGCCACGCCCCTCCTGGACGCCACGCCCCTTCCCTGAGAAACCACGCCCCTCCCCGCACACGAAGTCCTTTCCCCCGACGTGCCACGCCCCTTCCCCCCAGACGCCCCGCCTCTCTCCCAGGGCGTCAGGCCCCTTGTCCTTAGATGCCAAGGTCCCTCTCTGCAGGCGCCATGTCCCTTCTCCGTAGATGCCACGCCCCTCCCCTGAGAAACCACGCCCCCTCTCCCAATGCACCACGCCCCTTCCCCGGGACATCCCCTCTCCCAACGTGCCACGCCCCCTCTTCCAACTGCCACGCCCCTTCTCCTTAGACACCAGCAGCTTCCCTGACATGCCACGCCCCCTCTCTGTAGGCACCACGCCCATTCCCCAGACACCACGCCCTCTCTCCCAATGTACCACACCCCTTCTCCCTAGATGTCACGCCCCTTCTCCCGGCACACCACGCCCCTTCCCTGGGATGCCACGCCCCTCTCCCAATGCGCCACGGTCCTTCTCCCGACCTGCCACGCCCCTTCCTCCAGTCAACGCGCCCCTTCTCCCCAGACACCACGCCCCTTCTCCGTAGATGTCACGGCCCTTCTCCTTAGACTCCACGCCCCACTCATGACCCCCTGCAACCAAGGGACATGCCCTTGACCAGACTCCAACCCGGGACCCTTTGGTCCTCAGGCAGACGCTCTATCCACTGAGCCACACCAGCCAGGGCTGAAACTAGCTTCTTTGTCATCCATCTGCTGATACAAAAGGGGGGGGGGGAGGAAGGTGTAGAATGGTGTTGAGGTGTCGGTGTCAGGTGACCTGGCTTCCTAAAATCTTCACTGACATAAAGCAAGGGTTTGCCAGTAAATGAAAAACTAAAACTAAAAAAAAAATAATTAATTAAATAAAAATAAATAAAACCGTTACTGACATGATCCACTAGCTGTGTAATGTCAGAGAGCTGTTTAATCTCAGTAAAATTCAAGTTGATCCGAAGGTTGTGGGTTATTGTTAAGCTAATCTCAGTAAAATTCGGATTCTTTATTTGTAAAAACAGAGCTGGCATGAGCACCTAGGATCACGGTTCGATTCCCAGTCAGGGCACGTACTCGGGTTGTGGGTTTGATCCCCAGTAGTGGCCGTGCAGGAGGCAGCCTATCAGTGATTCTCTCTCCTCATGGAGATGTTTTTCTCTCTCTTTCTCTCCTCCTCTCCCTTCCTTTGAAATCAATATAAATATATATATATATATATATATATTAGAGGCCCGATGCATGAAGATTCATGCAAGAGTAGGCATTCCTGCTGAAACCGGTTTGGCTCAGTGGATAGAGCATCGGCCTGCAGACTGAAAGGTCCCGGGTTCAATTCTGGTCATGGGCATGTGCCTTGTAACTCTCTAACCCTCTCCCTTCTTCTCTGTATAAAATCAATAAAATAGATTTTAAAAAATAATAATAATGGGCCTCCCTTCCCCTGGCTCCTGGCACTGCTTTTGCTCTGGCCTCAGGGTTGCCTTTCTACCTTCCCACACTGTCCAGAGGCCCGGATCAGCTGGGACGGTGGGTGGAATGCCTGTGTCGTTGCCATAGTGATGATGCAAGTGTCCTGGCCCCCCGCCACTCGGTGCCTGTGTATGCAAAGGAACCTGCCATCTTTGCTGGGTTGATTTGCATACTCAATCCTGATTGGCTGGTGGGGTGTCGCGGAGGCACGGTCAATTTGCATCTTTCTCTTTTATCAGTGTAGATATTGTAAAGAGAGAAAAAAAAAAAAAAAAAAAGGAAAGGGTTCCGCCTCCCTCATTCTCACGTCTCTGACCCCTGCTCTGTCGCAGGCGGTGGGCTGTGACCGGCAGCTGGGGAGCCGCGCCAAGGAGGACAACTGCGGGGTGTGCGCGGGCAACGGCTCCACCTGCAGGCTGGTGCGGGGACAGACCAAGCTGCACGTGTCGCCCGAGAAAAGTAGGTGTCACCCCCCACGCCACGTTACCTCCCAGCGAAATGTACTGGCCTTCCTGCAGGTGGATTTGGTTTCACGAAATGACGAGGTGCTGATGCATGAAGATTTATGCACGGGGAGGGGGGTGCCCTTGGGGGAACCTCTTTCGCGTCCCCCGTGGCTCAGGGTTCAAGTTCAGGGTTCAGGTTCTGAAGGAGGCCGCACTCACAGGAAAGAGACTAGAAAAAATATGCCCGGGTGGCGGGCTCCATCCCCAGTAGGGAGCGTGCAGGAGGCAGCTGATCCAGGATTTTTCTCTGATCCATGGATGTTTCCATCTCTTTCTCCCTCTCCCTTCTTCTCTGAAATTAATTTTAAAAATATATTTTTAATGAGCTCAAACAAAAACAAAAAACAAAACTCTAACCAGTGTGGCTCAGTGGATAGAGTGTCGACCTGGAGACTGAAGGGTCCCAGGTTCGATTCCGGTCAAGGACATGCACCTTGGTTGCGGGCACATCCTCGGTAAGGGGTGTGCAGGAGGCAGCGGAGTCGATGTTTCTCTCTCTCATCGATGTTTCTAGCTCTCTATCCCTCTCCTTTCCTCTCTGTAAAAAAAAAAAAAAAATCAATAAAATATATATTTTTTACAAAAGCAAAACTAGAGACCCAGTGCACAAATTTGTGCACAGTTGCGATCCAGCTGGTTAGCCCATGGGGTGGGCCCGAATGGGGGAGGGGCCGAGGGAGGGCTCCAGGGCGAATCCAGTCTGTCTCTCTCAGTCCTGATCAGCAGGACCCTAGCAGCAAGCTAATCTCCTGTTCCCAGCGCCTGCCCCCTGGTGGTCAGTGCATGTCCTAGCCGGCGGTTGAGCTGCCTTAGCATATCATTAGCATATTACGCGTTGATTGGTTGAACAGACGACCAATCACTGAGCATCTTAGGCTTTTATTACATAGGACCCATCCGCTGATATCAAGGACAGGGCTTCTGGCCCGGAGCTGACGTGTTATTGATTGGCTGACTAGGGTGCGGACAACTCATTTCCTGGATGTCTGGCTACTTGGGGATGCTGGATGGGCGGCAGGAAGTGAGACATGGGAGAGCTATGTCGCACCAGCTGGTCCTGAGCTCTGTGTGTGGGAGGGAGAGGAGCCGAATCAGCCTTCCGGGGGCCCTCCGGCCAGCCCGGCGATTGCAAAAATCCAGCAAGTGCGTGTTGGAATGAAAACAGTTATAACGGGGTCTCACAGGCAAAGGGTGAGGACTGTCGATGCTGGTTCTGACTCCAGCTCCACTGATTCGGAACTCCGATCTTAAGCCATTTAAACTTGGAAAACATCAGTCTTTTTTATTTAAAATATATGTGTGTGTGTATATATATATATATATATATATATATATATATATATATATATTCATTGATTTCAG